GGMTTTTTTTAATTGTTGCTGTTGTGTTATTACATTCATTTTCAATTTCTTTAWTACGCTCGCAAATATACGATGGAACCGAAAATATAGGAAAATAAAGGATGCACGATAACTTTTCGCCGTCTTGTAACAAATGAATGAGCGGGTAGCCTGTTGTGAGCCTGAAAGTAACAGTGCGACAGTACTCGCTCGCGCATGGTCATGCAAAATGGSCCCTTGTTGTCGACGGTTCGGACGCGGCAGGCGATAGACAGCTTTTGAAAAAAACTCTTCGCAGTAATGTTAATAATTCAAAAGGATGTCCAAATTTCCCATGACGTCATCAGACAAGTTCTGGACAGCCTGAGCTCATAAATATTAACCATTAAACAACGGTTGTTCTTCAGAACAACGGTCGTCTGTCTMTCGCCTTGTGATATAGTCACTATATCCTCACTAGTTGAGAAAACTGTGAAGAAGCGTACACACGTCATTTGTTTCTATTACAGGAAAAGCGAAAATAGGAAAAGTAGGTAAAATTCCTATCATTCCCGGTAAACCATTAGCGAGTAAGAAGGAGTACGACCAAGTCAAGAGCTTCGTACTGTTTATTGGTTACCCTCGAAGCGGCCACACTCTAGTCAGCACACTGATCGARGCCCACCCAAACGCTATTATCGCCAACGAGTTTGACTTGATAGGGAAATGGCAAAACTGGAAGCCACAGAATCAAAACAAGTATTTCCTGTTTGACCAGTTYCATAAGAACTCACACATGGAGGCCCAAAGAGGTTACAGAACAAAAAGTGGAAATGCCTTATTCTCTTTCTATGTGTCTGGTCAGTTTCAGGGKAAAGTCCAAGGAAAATTGAAGGTAAAATCACTAGAAATAAGCTTGATTTCCTCGTTATGTAAAAAGTATGGATTTTCTTATACATACTAAGAGGGTACTGATCCTGAAAAGTTACARTATTTTTACACGTCATTACGGATATTTTACTTAACATGGAAATCGATTTTTTTTTCGAGGTAGTCACACACTTTATTTTGATTCGGGTGGGAAATAGATAAGCATTTTCTACGTTTGCTGTGTCATGTCAATCAGCAAAGTGTCRTGCTGAAAAATACCAATTTGACTCATCCAAATCGTGCAAAATGTAGTGCTGGACATTCGTTACTTTCTCTTTATATCACAATATATCATTTTGATTTTGACACTACACACAGAAACGCTACTGATGATTGCCCCATAGTTAATTTTGATATTTCAAAGTAAGCTTACCAAACATTTTGTATTCTACCTCTTTATTGAAATGAATATTACTCGTATTTTTCAGCACTTACAATAGCAGTGTTACAATATAACTCCCAACGGTGTGCGAGTTAATAGAGCTTAATACGGGTCAAACGTCATACATGAAAAATAGGTGGTTTATATATAGTGTTTATATTTAGAGAGTTTATGAATAAAACTCGTCAAACCTCTACAGGCCTGTTTCATGAGGCAAAGCCTCAATCTTCAGGAGTTTATTGTTTAGCTCAATAAACTCCTGAAGATTGAGGCTTTGCCTCATGAAACAGGCCTGTAGAGGTTTGACGAGTTTTATTCATAAACTCTCTAAATACTTCAGCTCTGCCTAGCATCGAGCGCTCTACGTGGAGTAACTCCGCCTAATTTTACAGATATAGTGTTTATATATAGTTAATATAGTGGTTTGCATCTTCCTCTGCTTGTTCAGAGTTGGTCGGGTACATGTGACTGTTATTGCAAGGTTGATTAATCCGTCGCCTGGTTTGATTTGACGTTTGTTTCAATGATTGATGTGMTCTATTTTAATTCATTGGTTTGATAATTGATTGGTTGTATTTTCGTTGGTGTTTATGGTTTTGGTACAAAGGTCCTCTTGCGKGCGCAACATTATGCGGAATGACAAATTATTCCGATTTTTTCTTTTTTTTTATTTCTTTTGTTTTTGAATTTTTTTTAATTGTCGTGAGTTTGATTAATGTTGTGATTTGTTAATTGTTGAATAATTTATTAGTCTGTTTAGTGTGGACAGTTTAGTTGGTTCAGTGATTGTTGTTTAGTTCTGCTGCCCTGAGGAGGCTTTCTCGGATTCTGACGGTGAAAATTAAGCAGCTAAGTGATTAGGTAGGCTAAGATTTGAGTGTTAAAAAAAGGCTGAGTTATAGAAGAACTTATTAAGAGAATATCAGATAGAAGAGAAAGTCCTCCTGGTAAATAATGAATACAATGGATTTCAGATAATAGGAGCAAAGAAAGGAGGAAGAACGACGAAACTGATGACAAAAAAGAAACGTATGAAAACAATAGAAACTATCATGGCGACAGTAAATGTACCGTTCAAATTCCTTCACGTAGTGAGAAACCCTTACGATAACATTGCTACTATGCTACTAAGGACGAAGAAGATGCGTTTGAATATGAAGCCTGATTTTAAGGTAACTAAATCTTCCTAAAGGATGAATGCAATTAACTGGTAAAACAGATTATATGTTTTTTTCACATAAGTCTTTGAATTCCTCATTATATACATAGCTATAAGTTAACGAAGTAGGACGACTTACAGCTGATTTCTGACAAGGGCTAMCCTGCGTAGCCAGGCGTTCCTAGCCGCTCCGAGAGAGTTTGGAACGCCTGGCTACGCAGGCTAGCTCTTTTCGTCCATGTTGAACACCCATAATTCCTTTCAGTCATGCTGTAGTGCCATTCTGTTCTATGTTTTCCAACATAATTAGTCCCGCACTTACTTAAAAGCTGCTTTATAATTATGCCAGTTTAAACTAAATTTATAATTCTTATTTAATTTTGAAGTTGAACGACTCTGAGACATTGGATTCAGAGATTCTTAAATACTTCAATTTGGCTTCAAGAAATCAATACCTGGCAAAAAAATACGCCAAGAGTCTGCTAGAGATTCAAAACACAGATCTGATACGAAGACCTAAAGAAATGCTTAAAAAGATGTGCAAATTTCTTGGTTTAACTTGTAGCCAAAAATACTTAGACGATTGTGTTAAGATAATTTTCAAAAAGCCTTCACATACAAGGAACAATGTGGTGTGGACAGTTGAGCAGAAACGAAGAATTAAACAAGCGATGAAACGATATTCTTTTTTGAAGAGATTCAGCTTTGATTCGGACTGAATTAGCTGTGGACCATGTGGGACCCGAAACTAAAGCAGAGCATGTGTGTAGACAGTTGCTCTAGTCCTCAATGGCCGATTAGAACTGTATGTCAGGAACGATGTGCTATTGAAAAACAGTTACCAACTTTTATAGAAATAGCTGAAAATGGTCAGYCAGTAAGTTATAATGTTGATACATCGTGTTCAACACTGCTATCGAGCTTTAATTTCGATACAATWTTCATTGAACAAACAATCGATCAACAGATTCTCTTGCACGACTATGACCTTACGAGAAACAATAGAATACATAAAAAAATGATGTAAATAGCCGACTTGCGAATTACGCATCAATAGTCACATACAAAGGAATCAAGACGAGGCGCCGTGCTTTTTTGTGAAAATCTATTGTCTTTAGCACGACGCCTCGTCTTGATTCCTTTGTATGTGACTATTGATGCGTAATTCGCAAGTCGGCTATTGCTTTTAATTTGGCATTTACTACGGTCACCAAAATGAAAATCATTGTGACTACTTGTTTTACTGCATTTTGTCATTGGGAATCTTTTATCAATAAACATTAAGAAGGAGCTTTAGTTAGCTTTAGTATGTAGACGAAAACTTACAGAAAGGACAGAGTCTGCAACTAATCATTGATGGATGCTCATTAACATGGAGAGGTCATAAAAGTGGTGTGTTTATACACATGTTCCCACCTCCATAGACTATCTTAGTGCGCTTTCCATTTGTCAGAACTGGATGGCCAGACCCAGAGAAAACGTCATTACATATCATTCCCATTTAGTTAGGAAATTTGAATTTTCAAATTCTATCCATTATTGTACAGAAACTTCGAAATGACTGAAAAATATTGACAAAAAGCATTATATACCTCTAAATAGAGTGGACTGGCCGGCCAGTTCTGCCTAAATGGAAAGCACCCTTAAACTGGGACTAATTAAATAAAAGCCACCCGAAACGACCGTAGCTATGAAGCAACTATATTCGTAGGAGTATAGTRACATTGTGGCGCCATTTTCACTTTTTTACCTTTGTTCAAGATTTATTCAAATATCACATTTGATTGTTTACTAAGATACGACRTTGGAACAGATTCTAATAGTTTTTATAGTTATAATATCGGAGAGAACGAAGAAAGCAAACCGCTTTTTGCTACATTATTTTGCGTAAATTCTTGCGCTTTGATTGGCTAATAGTTGATGAGTTCCGCGATCTCTTTTAAGCTGTGTTAGCCTCAATTGTGTGCAAAATATTCAAAAATTTAGATAAAATTCTTRAAACTATTTCCATTGTCTTCTATGCTCACGGATCTCTTGAATTTGCATGGACTGTTAGTAAATAAAAAAATTCATTACATGGTTTTGATGCTAACACAGCGTAAAAGAGATCGCTAAAAGGGTTTATTAGAAGGATGCACAAATGCTGACACCGCCGTCATATCTGTTCGCTCTCAGTTGAAGAAAAAGATAATTCTCGCTAATTTTTAGCGGAGCACCATAGCTAAGTCGATTTCCCATGGACCGACACAGGGTTCCCGCGCGTACGCACGTTTCCTTCCGTCCGTCCGTCCGTCCTTCCTGGAGTGCGTGTACCACCACAGGAAACCCATACTCCGCTCGAAAAGGAAACAAAGCGCCAAGTATTTGTTGAAAAATCGAATTTTTTTTTTCCTTAAACATTTATATTACATTTTGATAATATTAGAACAATTAATCGCAAGGAAAAAATCCACAGAAGAGCGAAATAACAACACAGAAATATTCCCGCCAATTTTGTCATAACTTCGACGCGTCCGCACATCCGGYAAATCGATTTGCGAAGATGAAAAGCAATTTAGGCCCATCTTAAAAGTGATATTAGAAAAAAGGATTTTACTTTGATATTTCGACAACAAGAAAGAGATGATACTTTATTGGAAATACTTCAATAATATGGACCAATATGGGCAAAAGCAGGGATCTATGCGAAGTTCTTTTGTCGACTAAAAGTGTGGACATTTCGAAACCAAGACCATGCTAGCAGTTAGATTGAGAGAAATTTAAAAAAAACAAAGAATCTACAGTCTTGAATGACTTAATAAATTGATGAAACCTATGCTTGAAACAAGTATGGCTCTGTTGAAGACCCGGAGGTTGAAGATGATCTTTGAACGATAATTTATCGGAACCTGTGATATGTGAAGTTCGAGCACGGGCTTTAGGAGACTCCTTTTTTTGAGTCGTGAAAAATTCTTGTTCATGGACAAAATAACACGCTATTTACTTACTTGAGTCTTTTATTGCTAGTCAAATAAGCCTGTGATGAATAAACATGAATTTATGATCTGTTTAGTCCATTTCTTTCCATATTTATAGTAACAGTTACGACTAACCGTGCGCCATTTTGAATACACAGGTATTCACCAGTCCTCCGTCCGATCAAATGGCGTGGTTCCCTAGCTAAAACTCAACCGCCAAACATAAAAACCCCCAGGGTAGGCCCTAAGTGCCAATCCATCGTACAATCCTCAATGCTAGCTGATGACGCGTCATCACCATATTAGGAAACTACCCTGTCCCCTTCACCCATATAAGGAAACTACCCTGTCCCCTTGAATCCAATACAAATCACAGGGGGCCCAGGCTCAACGGTTGTGTTGCTTTCACGGCGGTGTCAAAGTATTAATTACGGGGTTCGCGGTTCGAGCCCTCATGAAGCCGTAAATTTTTTCTACTTCATTTCTTGAAACTTTTCAATACTTTTTCTTTCTTTTCTTTTTTCTTTAATAAGTATACAGCTATTTCAAAAAATGTTGTCGGGGAGAACGGCGAACGGCGATTGTCGAAGGGAGAATGCATGACCGAAAGGGACTGTGGTTGCACTGCTTCGATAAACAAAAATTCACTTATTGGATTCGCCTTACATAGAAATCGAGACTAAAGGATCCAGTGTTTACCACAGACTATGTTACAGTATAAATCAGTTGTTATTGCCTTTCAACTACCAAAACCCATGGCTACTTTCGGTCGTGCAATCGCCGTTCGACCATTGACATTAGCCATTTTATCCGACAACCTTTTTTGAAGTAGCTATAAACAGTTTTATGAATAAAGATTGATTTTTAAAGCCAGAATAATATTTTCCCCCATCGTAAATATTAAAAATAAAGCTGTACTGATTAAGAGGTCACGGTCCGAATCCTAAGTGATACCGTATGTTTTTTTTTTTTTGTTCTTTATTATTATTTTTTATTATTATTTATTATTTTTTTGCAGCAATTCTTTTAAGAATGCTTACTCCGTAACGGTGAATTAAACAACTGACAGTTGGTTCAATTGAATCCCCGACCAACTATACGGCACCGTTGCTTTTATTGTTTGCCAGATTCCGTAGCGGCTCAAAATAGTATTATCGATGTCTAACCACACAATGAACTATGTATCAAATATTACAATGTAATTGTACGGTAGCGAGGGCTTACTATAATCAACGAAACGAAACGAAACGAAACGGGAATCTGTATTCA